CCTAACCTCAAAAGACTTTGAAGACGACTCCAGGGAAGACATTTGCGACTCGATTAAGTACGACGTCAATGAATACTTCGGAGATCCAGACCAAAGTCTAGAAACTTTGGAGCGAGATGGGGCTTATTCGATTCTTCTCGAGCAAGCTCTAGGTATTCTCAAGGCTTTTTCGTTCATCAAGGAGAACAAAGATGGAACCTTATGCATCCATCGTCTCGTTCAGTTGGCAACCGCAGATTGGCTCAAGCGGAAGGGCACCGCAAGGCGGTTCTTCGAAAGGGCGCTAGCAACGCTGAACGACTTCTTCTTGGCTTCTAGAGAGACTTTCTCTTTCTCTTACAAGACCATTTCTCATTATCAAGCTTTATTAGCGGCAAATGCAAGAAATCCCTCCTTGGGCAACGCCTCGATCTTCATGATTAGGCACAGCATGGCAACATTCTACTGCTTTGTTGACCAGCATAGGCTCGCACTCGACTACGTTGAGAAAGCCTTGGAAACAAAAGAATATGATCACCAGGAAGAGTCCTACTTTGAAGCAAGACGGCTCAAGGCAACGATTCTTCAACATCTCAACCGCAACCAAGAAGCGAAGCAAATCCTCATTGAGCTAGTTACCATCCTACCTCAGAATAGTGAAACCAAGCTTTTGACGATAGAAAACCTTGTTAGCTTGTTTCTTAAGTTAGAAGACTACGGAGAAGCAAGAGACTTGCTGGTTGGTGACCATGCTCTGCCCCTAAGGCAAAAAGCATGCCTGATAGTTTACTTAGGCACGGCATTTCACAAGCTGGGCGACATAGAAGCTGAAGAAAAGACAGACTTTTGGGCATTTGAGATTGTGAACGAGGCGTTAGCATCCGGTAAAGCCGCCAATCTTATGTCTGTCTTCGAAGTGGCTTTCACGTTTGCCTCACAGGGGAAATGGAAAGAGGCAGAGAGAATCTGTCGTCAGCTACTACTATCCAATATGTTGGATAAACTCGAGGCATCTAGTATGCAGCTTAATGTATTGGGCATGCTGGCGACTGCCTTATATCAACAAGGTCACCACCTAGAAGCTATAGATACCCAGCGCCAAGTTGTGCGCCTGTGCAGCAATTCTGGAGAATCTCAACCCAGGTCGAACGAGGAAGCCAACGCACTTCTGAATTTGGCCATTATACAGCTTGAATCAGAGTTGTTCGAAGACGCAGAAGAGAGTATCGCCCACGCGCTTCAGTTGTTTCAAGGCATACATGGCGACACTGGAAAATCTGTACTTAGCTGCGTATATCATCTGGGCTTCATCAAGTACAAACTTGGTAAGTGGGAGGAATCAAAGAATATCCTAGAGAACGGTTACCAGCGAAGCGTCGATGAGATGGGCTCGCTCGACCCGCTTTCACATCGTTTCAAAAGAGTTATGGAGTGTCTCGCGAAACACACATTGGATTCAGAAATGGTGGAATGAAAGAAAAAAAAATAAGGAGTAAAAGCCAGAACGTTGGATTTACAAGAGAAGGGATGTATGAGTATGAAGTCATGAAAGCTCAGAATAGGCTGTTTGAGTAGTAGGCGGGTTCATGAGTCTAGCCATCGAAAGGGCTGAAGAATGAAAACCTGTGTGTAAGTTCATAGTAACACTCCTATGGCAAGATGAGAGTTAGGACTACCAACCTCCGCCCTTTGCTGAAGAGGTACGAAAAGACTAGACTGTCTCAAACTATCGCCCAGACAGCTGTTAGATAATACAAGTTCGCAATTCGCATTCTGAAATTGTGTCACAAAACTGATACGAGCTGACCCAACCCCATTGATTGACGAGTCGCGTCAATATCGTCCCCGATTTCTTTTCGACAGCCTTTAATACATATGTTCTTTATGTAGATATAATGAGAATGGGAAAAGATCGACATGTTACTCGTTATTGCCTTAATTGAATGCGTGTATCTGTGTGCGGGTGGTATTCGGCACCCTATGGGACGAAGGCTTCAGATAATACGTTTGATACGAACAACGCTTATCATACCAAATACCTCGGGGCCCATTCTCCTGAATCAAAGTAGTCAAAGGGTCTTAGTTCACTCACTCACATGTCTTCAGAAGTAACACCGACCAATGCTGATGACGTCGCTTCAACTCAACGGAGAGCACGGCCGAGGAATGAAGTATGACGAATTCTCATACTCGGGACCGCAAGGCGCGTACGTGGCCAATGACTCGATCACATTCCTCACACAAGCCACCAAACATCATTGACAACGGTTCTACCGTGTCCTTGTGATGGAAATCCACCCGTTAGACCCATCCAGTCGTTCCACCCGCCGCCAACCCGCCCTAGCAAGACATTGTGTAACAAGGAGTCGGGACCCTTCTTCATCACCACCGCACCGAGACAGAGGGTCTCCGGCAAGGCGGCACAGAGAAGTCGACAGGTCAGCGAAAGGGATGGGCAACTGGGCAGATATTCAACGTGGCAGACTGTGTACGTGTGCCTGTATCGTCTTGATGAAAACCCTTCATCCGGAAGAGGTCCGGAAGGGAGGTCGTTCTGTTTCCATGAGCTCACGGACGATCTGGTGGTATTCAGGCCCCCTCAGGTGAGAACACGTTTGTACACAGCATGAAGGAAAAAGCGCGGAAGATACATCAGTTTCCTCCCGGCGCGTATCAAAAGATCAGCGTAGAACAGGCGGACCCACGGAACGGAGCGGCAGACCCGCATCGCAGGAGACACACGGGCGACGGAGGGCAAGGGAGAGTCAGCCAGGCATTCTCGTCTATCCATTCACCCATTCAGAGAGGGAGACTAGAGAATCGTCCAGTGTCTGGCTCGTGCGTTGGCGCAAGTCCTGCAAGAAAGGGGAGAGATAGTGAGGGGCCATGGTTGAAGGGGGAAGCACGACGGTTTGTGACTTGCATATGCCGCTTCAGCTGAACTAGACGACGACTACGAGAGAGTTTCTTACCCCTTTCAGCATTGCGCTTTGAGGACAGGGTATGTCCCGGCAGATGTTGCCCGGCAATTGGATCCCGTTGGAGGCCGATGAGGACGAGCGCGACTTACATCAGCGGGATGCTGCATTATCTGCGTTTATCGTAGGCAACTGTCGTCAGGACTGCATGCTAGGTACCGTGATATCTTTACCGGAGCAAATGCGGCTTGCCTGACAGGATTAAGAAGAGGGCTAGTGGGCTAAGACTTAGCCCACTTATCAGAGGCCCATCAGCCACGTTTCGAGGGTTCGTCACGATGCATCAAGTGCCGGTACGACGTGTCCTGTCACTTGTGCCTGTATCCATGGCTGCGATTCACCCAAGCCTCCTAAGATCAGGTAGATCCTCCTCGTCCAGACATGTCCGCCACGCGTCCAGCTGCCTTAGGAGGCCGCGCCCAGCGCCGAGCCCCCCGTCAAGTCTGGAAAGTCGAGTTGGCTGGTCTGGGCATCCAGTAAGGGACGGGATAAGGTACCGGTAGTCTGAAGTTGGCGCCGCGCTCAGAGATGGCCAGTGATCCACGAACGACAGTGGCCCCCAAGAGAAAAAGTCGCCAGATCACCACCAAGGATCACGTCGATGAATCGCTGACGGGCACGACGGGGTGGGATTGTGGACTGATGATGACTATGAGGGGGGCTGATGAGAGTCAATGCAAATGGGATCTCCCAAACCAAAATCCCGGAATCCATGTCAAGGGGGAAGGAAGTTTTCAGTGGCTTTCTCATCAGGACTGACATGCTGGAAAGCCAAACCACCACAGTGACAGCGAAGCCCCTGGTCCAGCCAGGCACGCCGTCAAGTGCGCCATGTGCGTTGGAGTTGCGACAGCCAGGTTTTACCTTGTCGTTGCTGTCTCGGGTTGTCGTTGGAGGGTTGCTACCTTCCATTAAGTAAGCAAGACGGAACCCGTCAGCCAGGCACACTAACAATCACCTCTTGCTTATGGCGCAAGCCTCCTTGTCGTGCTTACCTTCACCATGGTGCCTCCTTCCTCAAGGACTGATTGATAACGTGACCTGTTAAGCTCCCTCCTTCCCCCTTCTTCCCATCTCTAGCCAATCAATCACCCGGTCCCTCTTTCCCCCTTACATCCCTCGGTCCAGTCCGTGACATGCAGCCCCACCCATCGTCTTTTCCCACCACAGAACGGTGAACCCGCCCATCTGAGTGGTCCCTGGTCATCTGCTGTGGCGCGGCTTAGAATCCGGGCGTGTCGCATATCCCCTCCAAGTCCATCCTCTCCAGCCAATCACACCCAATTATCTGCAGGGAAAGAGTCAGGGGTTCAGGCACCGAATTGCCGTTCCTTCTCCCATCCAATCGACCCCCGCTGCCATTCCAGAAGGTCTGGAGCCTGGGCGCTGCCAACTGCTCTGCTTTTTTCCACGTCCATCGTATCCGTCAACGTATCGTCGCCTCAACTGTCCAATCGAATCGATTCTTCCCCCCTTGCTTCAATCGCACAACCTTATTCCTTGGCCCTGCTCGGTTTTGGCGGCTGGACTCTGGAGACCTTCCAGGCAAATCCAGCTTCTGACGATCCGCCCTTCCCCTGCTGGAGTCCTGACGCTGGCCTGGTTGTCCTAGTCTCGGTCTGCTGGCGGCGGCTTCGGCGGTTGTGTTTGTGCAGTCCGCGCTGTGCATTAGGTTATTATTCTCCGAGCGCTGGTCCGCAGCCACACGGCACAGAGTCAGTAACCGTGGGAAAGAAGCACTGTGAGATATGTCGACTCACCAACGTTCGACCACGAGCGTCAGCAACACCATCACGAACCATCTCGACCACTTTCCAAGACCTCCCGTGAAATGAACCGACCACCACTACCCCAAGAAGCAAATCAAAACCGACTCACCAGAGTGACCACACTCATTGAGCCAACTCTCACCGCAACCGCGCACCGCCGCAATGGGTTTCAACCCTGAAACTCCACCCGCTCATCTCGGTCCTCCATCCCCAAAGAGGTCACCATCCCCCCCTGTCTTCAAGCTCTCGAGGTCGAGCATGCCCTGTCCCTCGAATGCTTAGCATCAATAGTCAAAAGATGTTCCCACTCAAAGAAGGCTTGGGTATGGGTCCAGAGACGCAGCTGGGCCTCGTCTCCGACACCATATTTTGCCCCTCTCTGTCCCAGTCTCCCTCCCTGCCTTTGGTGTGTACGAGGTCGAAAACCGAGGTACTCGCGCCTACCCGGTACCACCGCCCCTGTCGAGACGAGTTTCGTCACAGCCCATCATCGTCCGATATCACAAAACCCGTGTCCCTCTTTTTTCTTCCTCGTCTTCTCTCACCATCTCAACTCCTCGTCTCACGATCACCAACCAAGTACACCTCCCATACCTATACCACCAAACAGCCACCAATACTCCGTACCATACAACGAACACACGGCCTCAAGCAAGACGCATACAACGCACGAACCCGCACACGCACGCCAAGAGATCTGCACGCTCACACACACACCTTTTCGGGCTTTCACTCTTAACACACCAACATCCCACACATTCTTCCTACCCAAAGTCTAATCCTTTCCACACACCATCACCTACATCACACCTCAACCGTGTGTTGCTCGTATCCCAGACAGCAGAAGCTGCACCTCGCCTCTCTCTTTTTACCCATCGAGCGCCCGCACGCACTCGTGTCTGCTAGTCCAGCTGGTCTGATCCAAAAACCTTGCCTTCGCTATACATATTTTTCTGCCGACCTGCCGGTACACACTTCCTCAACGCCACTCTTTCACCAACCAAGACGACTCGTCGCTAGCTCGACGTCCGTAACAACAACAACAACAACAACTCCACGATCATTCGGAGAGAAGGAGGATTCTGGGAATCAAAGGGAACAAGAAAAAACAAGAAAGCGGGATATCAGAAAGAGACTGGAATTGGGGAACCTCGTCAACGAAACCGGTCCGATTCGCGCGAACGCAAAGGCAGCTATCTTGAGCCGCCTTCCTTTTTGTTTAATATACCCTCTCCTCGAACACCAACCGACGACGACAAGATGAAGGTCTCACTCGCGATCCTGACGACGCTGTGCGCGTCACTCGCCACCGCAGGCGTGGTTATCACTCCCGTCCGTCAAAATCAGGTCGTGCCCGCAGCACAAAAGGTCTCGGGCGACTGCTTCTTTGGTGTTGTGACGCCTCAAGGTTGCGCGTAAGTCTTCATTCTCGACTGGTCCTCACTGGAACCATGACTAACATGATACTACAGTCCTTTGAGAACGTGAGCCTGGCTTTACTATGCAAAGCGTCAAACGATTCATCATGAGCGATGAGAGGAAACGGCGGGAAAGAGACAGGCCGGAGCTCGTCGGGAGCACGTCAACCACCACGCAACTTAATGCCTCACTGCAGAAGCCAACTCGGGCGGACGTGTGAGCATCCATTGCTCCGACGATTCTGATGAACCGCCTCACTCCCGGCCTCGCCTCTCCTTTCTCTACGGCCAATTTTCACGACGGAGAGGACCACGACGCCATCGGGCCCGTCGTCTGTACCATTTACGACTTATTACATATGTGACCGGTTCACAACAAAGCATCCATCAGCATCAGCGGTTGTTATTTCAGGCGGAATATTATTTGGGCATTTTCATCAAAACGACGATGACTGACGACATGAGCGAGTGAGAGCGAGACGGAAGTGGCAGACACATGGGAGGACGTCGTCAGTGGACCTTACAGAGGAGGATTATGGTCACCCCCAAAACTAATGTTGGCATCCAAGACGTCGCGTCTGCTTGTTCTTGCTTGTCTCGCCGCTGCGCTTCCCCTACGGACCTCCGCGGGGTGGAAGCGCCGGCAGCACGGCATCACCAGCGCAGTCTTGGCATCTTCTTCACCAAATTTCTCTTCTTATTCCCCCTCCAATTTTTTACCATATACTAGATCACCCTTTTCCCAACTTACAAAAGAATTTCAAAAATATTGGATATCACCCCCCGTTTCCCCCCTTCGTTGATGATGCGACTAACTGCCTGAGACTGTCACTAACCGAAAGCTCCAACCCCCACCAATGAATCTAAGCGAACGCGGATGATACTCACGCCAGACAAGCCATGGCGCCCATCAAACACCAACACCATACCAAGTGGCGCAACGCCTCGCGCAGCGGCTGCTACAACCATCTTTCCCCCCCTCTCACCGCGACAAACGCACGTCGTCCATCCACCCCCGCCAGGTCCCAACGGCATAGACGTCTTAGACTTCCGCGTGCCTGAAATGCTAAAACTCCCAAGCCGCAAATTCTGATACGCGAAACCACCTCAGACTTCAGACGCTCACCTTGTCAAGCAAAACCCGAGACCAATTCCCCCAATCCCCCGCCCGTGCCTCGGTTTCGTCCCGACTTGGCCGTGTTCCAGATCCCCCAATCCGGTCACTCTTTGTCTCTCGTCCTGCCCCCAAACTCCACCCTAGCTAGCGGCAACCGTTGTAACCTTCCGCACCTTAAAGCCCACGAAATACCTTACCCTACTCTTAAGGTATTGCGGCACTGGGCGGTACCATGCCCTATACGTGAGCCGCAAAAACCTTAATGTCGCAACTCAAAATCCCCCCCAAACTTAACCATTCACCTGTGGGACCTATGACCTATGACATCGTACCCTCGAGCACCCACACAGACGGGCACGGAGAATAAGTTACCTTGACCTCGTTCTTTGCCCACCGAGAGCTTGGCTTACGTGCCTACGTAGTTGCGTACTACCGCTCTGCGCGCGCGCGTACCTGGCCGTCGACCTGGATACCTGGGCCTGGCGCTGTTCCCTCCCCCTCGGTCCCGAGACAAGTCGAGTCTTCGACACCCACACCAACCACTTTGCCCACGCGTCAGATGCGCAGAAAATAGAAACAGGCCCTACCGATCGAGGACTTTCATTCGCTTGTCACACTTCTTTGGGATTCATTTCATCGGCTACCAGATGAGGAAGCAAAGTGTAAATATTGAATTCCGTTTCTTAGGGTATCATGGTTTCCTGTCAGTCTCTCGTCAACGAAACAAACGCCGCCCATGCCATCTGAAATGCCCCCCTCTGTCCGATACTAAACATTCCTCCCAATCGTGTGTGATCAATTTGAATTGGTAGCCGCCGTCGTTCAACATCTGAGGGGGTACTTGGGGGCACGATCGGCCTTCATTCCGCCCCAGTGAGTCTCAGGTGCCTCACTGCCATCTTCACCAATGGCATGTGGCTTCCAGGGCTCGTCAAAGGCCTCGAAGAAGAACACGTTGAAGCCCCAGTTGACCATACCGCAGACACTAGAGTCGTAGAAAGCCTGAGCGTTGTCTTGTCCCGGGATCGCCTGCTGATACTTTGCACCTTCACTGGGCCAACCTAATTTCAGTCGATCTTGTTAGCAACTCGTTCACGATGACCGTGTAGAACCATTTGGTATGGCGATCACTGCTCAGAATGTATGACATAGGTGATGAGTATCACCGAAGAGGCAACCACCAAGATCAGAGTGATGAGTGAAGCAGTTCGACTTACCCGTCTCCCCAACCCACAGCTCAGGCTTGGTGAGCGATCCACTGACGCTCTGGATGCGTCCAAACGCCTGCATGATGGAGTCGAAGAAGCAAGCAGTGGCGTTGTCGCGCGTCTGACCCTGCCAGTAGGAAAAGGCGTTGGTCAGAAGAATGTCGGCCTCCTTGATGACGGCATCGGCCGTGCCGTCTTGGTACTTGTTCCAGCTGTCCGCGGTACCGATCTTGAAGAGCGGGGCCGCCTTCTTCATGTCCTTGATCTTGTCCGCCAGCTCGGTGCCGGTGAAGTTGCCGCGGTACATGGACTCGGATCCGACAGTGATGGCGTAGACTTGGTCCTCGTAGCCGGGTGTGTGCTTCAGAATTGCGGCCTTGTCGGCGGCGTACGACTCTTCGGTATCGGGCCTGTCCGAGTCAGCGGGAGCACTTTCCCAATAAGCTTCACTCGATTTGGGGTAAAGTGAAGTATATCGCCGGACGAGGTTGGTCTACCAAATGCCCAGAATCACCTGGAATTCTTCCTTCTTGGCTGCGGGAAGAATGTACTGGGCAGTGTTGCACTGGTCAGCAGCATAGATGCGGACGATGCTGCTTCCCGAAGCATCTCGGATGGCCCTGAAGTCCGCTTCGTAGTCTGCCTGGTACTTGCACTGCCCGCCCGGCTGCTTCGAACCGAGAGCGAAGCCCAGATGTCCGGATGCGAGGACCAGGCCAGGGGCAGAGGCCAGCAAGGCGGCGAGGACTGAGGTGGAGCGCATTTCGACGGTCGATCTGTTGGTGCTTGCCCGTGCCTAGGTAAGATATCTGAGGCGGCAAAAGGTGTAGCTGCGACAAAAGTCTCGCAAGAGTAAAGGAACAGGAACAGGGTAGAGATGTGAGTAGGTAGGTGACAAAGGGCGATGCAGGAAAAGAATGGTTTGATCAGTCGGCGAAGAGGATGAAGGTCCAAGAAAAAGAGGGAGTCAGAGATCCACACGCGTCTACATTCAACTCTCATCAATGGTGATTCTCCAAAGGCAGGAAGGGAGGGTATTCATCACCAGTTTGGGAAGGAGGCATCCTGCCATGTGCTGCATGTCCAGATTGGGCAAGAACGAGATGCAGACAGGGTCCAACCTTGACATCCCGCACCTCCCTCACAACTCGGGACGAACCAGCAGCTCCCAAGAATGCACTGATCATTTATGCTTTCTCAAACTGTCATATTTCTATCAGATCTTGGCAGCTTTGCGATCATTATTGTTAATCCTAACCATGTTGGGGTTTGCGCACCCCGATCGATAGCTCGATCTCGGATATAATTGCTTGGAATAAGAGTTGCTTCAATCGCGTTCTCAACGGACAGTGCTGTTGCCTTCTTTCTTCCCCTGTCAAGACAATTATCGCGAATGCGATTTAAGCTGAACCAGAAAGGGATTTTCGCCCATATTTTATCATTATTTGCTGTCATCCACAGTACCTCTCACACAGAAATAAGTCCGACCGTCCAGTTACTAAAAGAAGTCGCAGCTATTCCTCACGTCACATCACGATTCAACTGAAAAACACAAGTGTCGTGAGATAATCTAGAAACCCCTGTGGGTTTCAGTTGTTCATTAATCAATAACAGAAACTATGTAGTCCCATGGCCAGGGAAAGAGGGTATAAAGCGATCCGCCATGTACAGGAGGCTCGATTCGTCGTCATCTATTCGCCAACGTGGCGACCATCTTGATCCTGCCCCAACTCCCGATTCATGCAGTGATATTCAGCCGTTCAATTATGTATGCAGATTTAAAGGAAGGACATGAAAGTTTGTACGCCGACCAAAGCACCAGCTGCAAGCCAGAGGTTGGTGGATGTTGAGCGGCCAGCAGCGTTGCCGGTACCAGTCGGGTTGCTACCACTGGGGGCAGTGGAGGTAGAGCACTCGCCAGTGAACTTTGCCGCCGCATTCGCGCCCAGGGGAATCTTCTGAAGGTTCGAACCGCAGTTGTTGTAGGGGGCAAAGTGGAGGGCGGGTGTCTCCTGGTCGAAAACGACGTAAGTCGAACGGAGGAACGAGTCACCAAGCAGATACGAGCCGTCGGTTGCCTTATCAGCTCCGAGGACACACTGGTTGTTGCCCACGTTCCAGATGAACTCCTGAATGGGTACCTTCATGGTGTAGTCGCCAAACTTGAAGTCGATAGTGCCTGTGGTGCTGCAAGGTACCACATACATGTTGACGGATGAGTCAAGCTGGCCTCCCAGATCAGATCCGAGTGAGTCGACGATGGCTGAAGGAAGATAGCTCAGGGTGGCGCCAGTGTCGAAGAAGACGGGGAATTGGGAGTTGGCGTAAGTCTTGGAGCTGCTTCCCGACTTGCTCAGGCCCACAGAATCCAGCTGAACCCAGTACCTAAGATATTCAATTAGCCATTGTCGTAAAGAACAGAAGAGTAATTACTCACCTCCACAGGTTCTCGTTGTTCTGAGGCCCAAGGATGGGCGCCGAGTGCAGGGTGCCACTGAATTTCTTCGTGTCGACACCGCCGAAGGAAATGAGACCGCTACCCGTCTTCTCGTCCTTGGTTCCGAGCGCGATACCAATGGTGAGAGACTCAACGATGTTCTGGGCCTTCATCTCGTCAAGCACGGTCGGGTACCCAGTGTTGTTGGTCGCCTCGCCGAAGCTCAGGCCGAGGATACCTCTGTTAAGGTCAACACTATCAGTGGCATAGCCAAAAATTGTGTCTCGCAGTGCAATGTCTGTAAATTG